ACCGAGTCTGCAATTACCGCCACGACCTGGCAGAGGAATTCCAGCGCCATTCACGCCACCTGTTACACAATGTGCCTGAGCATATCTCAGCTCGTGTCGAGCAGGTGATCGCTGAGGAGCTCCGCAACTACCCGGCTCTGAGCCCCGACTTTGTGCCTCACACTGCCCATGTCGATCTTGGCCGCTCTGCCGCCAGCCGATCGGCTCCGACTGGGAGGGTCTCGCCCCCCCCAGTTCTCCCTCACTCCTCCGCCGTCTCCAGCTCACCTTCCGACCACGGCCGCGACAGTGAGTTCCACGGTCTCTTTACGCCGAGCTATCTTCCTCTACTTGAGGTTGTCCAGCCGAGCAGAGCCATGTCCTCCTCAATTGCTGCCTCGTCGTCCGAAACGCCTCGAAATACCCAATCCGACGATATCCCAGACACCTTGCGCCATGCCCACCTGGACACCACGCCCCCGCTGCCGGACCCCATCCCCTCCCATCCGGAGCTGACTTCCCCAATATCACCGACATCCGAAGAGCGCTGTTTCAACAGGCGCAGGAGTGCATTGCGTCGATCCTCTAGTGGTTCCGCGAGAGGTATTCAGAGTCCCCGGCGGGTTCGTTTTGATGTGGAAGGCGAAGAAGTCCTACCAACCACCTCGCCTCCGACACCAGCTCAAGTCCATGCCCTCCCTACATCCCCACCACCAGAACCCCAAACCATGCCGATCCATCAACCCATAAGCCATATAATCTTTGACGGAGAAGCCTCCATACTGGGCGACTCTCCTCCGCGGCCCAAAAAGATATCGTCGACTGAGCGGCTAAGGGCATTGGCTAGGTCCTCGACGGAAGATGTTTCTAAGTGGACTGTTGTTGGCGACCTGCAAGATGACGAGGACGATGATGAGGAAGGGCTTATTATGTTTAGTTCGAAAAGTAATTCAAAGGCTCGCACACCGGAATTAGCCACACCTACGAGCTTAGAGAACAGTACAAATTCTCACTCTGTACTAGACGGATCGTCAAGAAATGAAGCAAGGCAAATCAACGATGACCAGACTATTGACAGGGATGAAGCGGCCGACGAAATACACGAGTTGCCCTCACCCGCTACTTTTAGAAGCGAAGCGCGATTCTCGACACACGAAGCTATGCGTAACGTCGAACAAACGGCGGATTCCAGACTGGAGCCGGCGCTTCCTATCATCCCAGAAGCGCCTGGCAGAACTACCACCATAGGACCTGACGAGTTTTCGAGTTTTGAAGAGGTTGTGTTTGGATTTGATGACGAATGGGCTTCGCCACAGGAGACAGGTCCGGAATATTTCGAGGAAGACTTGAGTGTTGAGGGTATCGTCGTCCGTGACTCAGAGGGCTTACCAGATGTTCCGTCCGTCGCATCGCCCGGCATCGCAATTGCTAAGCCAGCAAGTCCACCCCCTACATCGCCTGCGCCATCGGTCTCCAAATATCCGGGTGCGTCCGGCTCGTATAAGGGGAAGCCTTTCATAATAGGCGTAGTTCGTAACGAGGAGCTGTACAAGAAGGCGGCCGAGATGGGCGATGTCGGCATGTTCGTCGGAAGCGTCGATGGTCGGACTGGCGTAGACCCGTCGGACTCCTATCTCCTCGACGGCACGCCGGGGAGCCTAGGCAAGCGCTTGTTAGAAGAGGCGCATTCGCGCCGCATGAAAAGAAACGCGGAAAAGCCGGAAAAATGAACCGTGTTCCGCAAACGTCCGGTTGGCTAATGCGATTTGAGCAGCCAGAAGCGACTCTTCACTCTATATTAATCAAAGCCACCCGCATTCTATCTAGCTGCCCGGCCCTGCTCAGTTCTCGGCCGCGCCGCATTGTTCCGGCCCTGGTTGCTTCTAGGTGGTTGAGAGACCGTAACTGACCTCACGGGGCTTCTATTCTAGCCTACCTAGGTATCGTAGTTACGAAACGGGAGGGGGGCTTGCGCCGACGGTATCGGGAGCTGGGATATGGGCCGCGCGTCGGGAGGTTATCTGGTGGGCGATAGCTGCTTCGACATCGGCGGTGCTTGCCTGGGTATACACGTGGAACTAGGTATCTAGCAAAGTATCCTCATGAGCGGGTTGGGTTTCATGCGGGCTGCTTGCTGCCGTGGCGAGGTGGGTTACGTGGGCTGTTGTATCTGCCTTGGCTCCCGTATAGTTAGTATCTGCTATAATAACACAGCGGAGAGATTTAGCTGATGTTTGCTCATTGGGTTTGCGTCCTGCTTGTGTGTGTGTGTGTGTGTTTATAGTAACTCAATAGTCATGACTGTAGATCTATCATCGTTGTTACGTGCTCGTAGTACGGGCTTCGGGTTGGTTACTCCCTGGTAACTCGGATTAGATTGTTGTTTTGCACTCGTGGGTGATGTTTCGCATGATGCCTGCCTTTCACCTGCTTTCGTTGGATTGTCACGGGGGATATGGTCTGGGAGACTGGCTGTGATTTGGGTTATGGTATTGTTATGAGACTCGTTTTTATAGGGCGAGCTGTTGAGGGATTCGATCGTCTTGTCTGCTGGCTGGAATCGCTGGTTACTTGTCTGTCTGTCTGTCTGCCTGTCTGCCTATCTACTTGTATCCGTATGTATGTCTATATATGTCTACATACGTCTGTTCGTTCTGTCGTGTATTCACTCCCAATCCCAACCCAAGAACACCGCCGTACGAATCCCACAACGACCCAAGCCCGAAGAATGATGGCATTACTGTGATAGCATGACTTCGATGAGAAGATCACCAATATCATTCCCAGTCCTAGTGTCACCGAGAATATCCAACACAGCGACTCTGTCTTTTCCGCCATATGCCGGCTTGGCTGATGAAGATTATCTAGATAGGGGCTTGCTTGTTTTGTTTATATCCTGTTATTTCTGTATTCTCTCGCCCTATCTCGTCACCCTGGTGCCTGGTCACCAGTATTATGGCTTTTTATCTTCTGACTCCTCTGTTTTTTCTACCGTATGCTGGCTTGGCTGGTGAAGGTTATCTAGGTAGGGGTTCGCTCGTTTCGTTTATATCCCGTTCTTTCTGTATCCTCTCGCCCTACTCGTCACCCTGGCGCCTGGTCACCAGTATCACGGTTTTTTATCCCATGCGTTCTGAGTTAATGTCGAGATTAATCATCGTCACATCGAGATTATTATCGTATTACTCCTTAGAATGCTTCTCTTGCCCTTTTACTAGATAGGATACTATTCGGGTTGCTTTCAGTAGAGTTCTTATTCCTCTTATTCCTCTTATTCCTCTTGTTTCCTTTCTTTGTCTCCGGGATTGAGATCTAAACACCACGATGTACCATATATGTGATCTAGTCTAGGTGCTGCCTCTTATGTATCTATCTTGGTATGGGGTTTGTTTATGTTATGCTATACTGGATTCTTTGCGTGGGTTATTATCCCCTACCTTCTGGATGCCTGTGGACTTTTTCATTAATGGGTATAGATTATACGCGGTTGCTTTCGTGTTGTTGGGGTCTTGTGGTGAGATCTCAGGGGAATCGGTTGGTTTTTGGTTTTGGAATTTATTTGCCACGGGCCTTGGGGTTTGGGTGAAAGTTTCGGCTCTCTTCAGCCTAGCTGTGTATTGGGATTTGGCTTGCTGATGTCTGTGTGAGATGTGTTTTGTGGTGGTGAGATGGGTTACGGTTGGTCTGATGTCCGTGTCTATCTGCGGATTGATCTTCCGGGTGCGTTACTTCTCAGAATTGTACAGCTTGAACTCTCCAGGACAATTTATCAAGTCTTAGATGTAGTTGATCCTGTACTTCCGGGCTGGGTACTTAGCGATATCCATCGTGATACTGAACGGAGTAACGGCATGAGCACTACGGTTCGATGTAAGGCGTACGCCATGTATCATCAAGAACACGTGCTGGTCCAGTCATCTCACGCCAGCAGTTGGTATCGGTAACCAGACATGGCGAATGGCATGGGCAGTGGCAGTTTATCGAGTTCACGCCATCATGCATCTGAATGGTTTACGTTACTTTGTGTTGAGCTAAGTCTACTAACTGCCGAAATTTGTATAACTCTCCTTCTAGATGAGGCCGTGCATACGTCGAGGAGCATCAAGGCATCATGTTATCAGACGGGGAATCGCGCCGGGAGATGTGTTGATTCCACATGCTATCGTGAGAAGGAATGAAGAAAAACATCCTCCCCCGTAATTTCAAATCATCACGGCACTAATGCGATCGAGTTCCTCACCAACCAGACAAGCAAACCAGATCCACGATACCATCAAACAACAAAAAAGATAACAATTCACACCGGAAGTGGATCCCAAGCCGATGCATCACAACAGCAAAGGGAAGGAAAAAAAAAAAGGGACAGCCGATGTTCATCGCACGGAAAGAAAGCAGGTCTGGACGAGACAAAAGGTTTGGTTTCCTGGGTGCATTCGTTGTGGCCCATCTCAGGCGGGGCTCCGCTGGGATTGCTACGCAAGCCCGAGCCATCCGGCGTCTCATTTCACTCAACTGACGAAACGCAAGGCGCCGGTGGGGACGCCCTGGCATTCCGACGATGCCGGGAGCGGAGCTCGCGTCGACATGGGTACCGCCACCCCGATCGCTTCGCAGGGCAACCAGCCCCGCGCTGCTATCTGGGAAGTATCTATTTGGTGCGCTCAGATCCGCCTAGAGATGAATTGAATGAGTAGATGAATTGTGGTTTACTGTTATTTGTGAATATGAGTGTCCAAACCCGTACGAGCAGCGCTGATACTGAACGAGGCAGCGTTGAAACCTTGAAACTGAGAGGCGTAGTTTTACCAGTTAGTAGCCTGGCAGCGGCGGTTACGTTTCTTCACGACGAGACGACCCAGGCCATAGGTAGCTAACTAGTAGCGAAACATCACGAAATACCTACACCACTCAACTTTCGGCAATTCTGAGAGTCACTTACTATACGGTTCCAGACATCAAGAAGTTGCCCGACGCAAAGAATCGCGGGTGATAGAATTGATCCGGCCGCAAGACTCAACAACGGTCCCATAGCTCAGTTGGTTAGAGCGTCGTACTAATATTATAGCAACCCGCCTGTAATGTCAGTGAATGCGAAGGCCGTGAGTTCAAGCCTCACTGGGACCAGCCGAATCTCTTTTTTTTTATCTTTTTTGGATATTCCGGTTGTGGTTTTGACAGTCCTTCCGAGAATCCCCCGCACAAGAATTCTTTCGCAACATGAAAATGTTTCTTTTGTGTTTATTGTTTTTTTTCTTTGGCATAGGTACTGGATGTTTGGCTCGTCGTCAACCCTTCAGGCGACGATGTACGGAATACATGAGACTTATCTAGAGAGCGGGGTTCATGGGGACGGCTTGGCCGTCACGCGCGCTTTCGGTTTTCTGATCCGTGGAATTTGCCTACGTATTTCCCACGTACGGCTCTGGGTAGATAGGTAGGCGGCTCCGCACGTCCCCCCCCAAAGAGACATGGGAACGCAAGTCCGCTCTTTGGAGTCAGGCGTGCCAATCAAGCGACCGGTCGTGGTGGAGAGAGCGTGGAATCGAGGTGGCCAATGTGTACTGGCGCCCGAAGATCCTGACAGAAGCAGACGTAGGCAGAACGGGGGCCGTAGCGGGACAATGGCGGCGCAGCTAATGTAGGCGGTCGTCCATCGTTAGGAGTGTCGGCGACCTGGATGAGGAGGAATACCGGTTCTGATGAGATAGGTCACTTGCTCGGGTGATGCCCAAGCATTTGTAAGTCGCATGATACTGACGATCTCCTGCACAGCGGCATTAAGGCGATTTCTTGGTCGCTTCATTTTCCGGATTCAGGTAGGTCGGCCGCCCTCAGTGCTCCCAAGGGCGGGCGAGGTAGGCAGATGATGGGTGCGGGAGGAATATGATTCGTATTTGTAGCCATCGGATCATGATTGGTGGTGCTCAGGTGCTCTGAATGACTCGGTAGACACATGAACGCGCTCGTGAGCGTCTTATTAATACAATGTGGTGCTTCTAGGCTTCGTCATGGTCTTCAGTTTCCATGGTTATCACTTATTTACGTCCAAGATATGATCAGGTCTATCAAGGTAGATGATACTGCTATGGTACCCGGCAACGAGGAGTAGATAGACATTTCACCTCTTAAGTAATAGAGCCTGACATATGTGGAATGTGATCTAGCGGAAGTCAGCTGTGTCCTGTTACAATTCAGGTTCATACGGCTCACTGCCGGCATCTCTATCAAATACGACCACCCCGTTGAATATAGGAATACCCAGTCTACCTAGCTGTCAAACGCAGAGCATGCCCTAAAAACCGCGTCACTGCCCCTCAAGTCTAATCCAGTTCCGAGGTGGAGATAGAGTAAGTTCGGCTCATCAATATAAGATCTAGATGAAGCCTGAGGGTCTATTATCGCGGTAAAAAGTAGCACAGTCCATCCCCCTCACGTGAGCACCACGATGAGAAGAGTACCTACGTAGCATATGGCTATGTTGGTCACAGCCACATTGATTCAGCTTGTCTGAGAGGTTTTTTCATGAAGGCTATACTTGCCTGCCCGGGAGATCCGGTGACATGACTCGAGTCGCCGATTAGCGACCCGAGCCCTCGGGTTCCCCAACATTTCGATGCTTGAGGACGACTTCTTCCGTGACTCCGCATTGACACAATTACATCCCCTGCCAAAGACGCATGCAGATAACCTTGATTTCGCTGCGCAGACGTCGTATGTCGGACCGATCGTTGACAGATGACAAGGTCAAAGGGAATCACCAAGGACCGGTACTCTCCAGTCAGGGCCACACGTGTCCCGGCATAAGCACAACAGCGACGGCGATTAATTAGACGGGTTGTAGGACTTGCATCACGATGTACGGAACAATCGTTGGTTATTCTACACGGTAAGGGCGCGTCGTGACCGGACGTGGTATGTGATAGGCACAGTTAAAGGCGTGGTTCCCTATAGCAGAGGGACGATCATGCCCGATTCCCTCAGCCACACGAACGGTTGATCTGTGGCGCCGCGGCGCAGCGAGGTTTCGGGTTTCCCTCGTTTCAGCCCCCGGCGGCACGTCAGGCAGATCAAACCGTAGTCGTACAGTAGCTGCTACAAACAGGACGGGGGCGCACTGCCAATCTATAGCCGGCTGGCTATTATAATAGTATCTTATACTGTACTGTACTATACTCAGTACTATACTATACTATACTATACTATAATAGAGAATATACGCCGGAGTATACCTACGTGGGTTGTCGATGTCGTCTCGGTCTGGTCCGGAACTCGCTCCGCCTCGAGTTGGCCGTTCATGCGACGTTTGGAATCATCGAGAGGCCTCAAAACAGACGTGACACGACCATCTAACCTAGGGCGTCGACTATAGCGAAGAGCTAATACATACGACCTGTGAAGACCCTTCCTGGCCGGACTCGCTCGACGGTGTCTGGATAGTGCGCTTATGAAGCTATGATTAAGGACGATCGTGCGGGCCAATCCGACGTTTTAGATGTACAGTACGCAGACAAAGAGGACGCCCAGTACCTATCGGATCAGGAACCCAACCCATCCGAGTGTCCATCGCAGTATCTAGTGCGCAGGTCGTCATGTGTGTGGTTACGGCGGTTGAGTTGTTCTAGATCATGCCCGGTTGCCGGTGATGTGTGGGTTGACAGCTTGACAAGCCACGCTAATTTGGCCTGTTTAGAGAAGAGACACTGGGTAGCAGTACATTTACATACCCGGAGAGACATGTAGATGGTAGTGAGGTTGCTGGCTTTACACCGGATGTCAGTTAGCCACAGCTAGGGGCGGAGATTTCTCACGATCTGGTGCATTCGATTGCCAATTTAGCCCGACGACTTGACGGGGGCTAATAACGAGACACTACTTTAGCAACTCGTGTCATAATGCCTATCTAGATAGCGTCGTACCTAGAGGTAGTCCCGTCGAGGGATGTACACCTACCTAGGTATACTACGGAATGCCTCCATACAGACAGACTACCTATATTGTAAGTACTTTCTTTCTTTTCCACATGTCGCGCTAAGCGCGCGGATTCATCCACCGTATCTAGGGTCCTGGTTATACCCATAAGGAGTTAACCTGACAGCCCTCAAACGGCCGGGGGGGTTTTAGTTTCGGTACTGGTATGTGTACTTCGCACATAGACTCAATTTGCACGGGGCTCAATGCGTCTCGGAAGCCTCGCCGTTTGTAGAAACGGCCGGGGCAACGGGCGTTAGGTAATGACAGCGACAACGCCGGTTGTCAAGCTTGCCAAACTAGTTAGGTATGAGTTGCGGTTGTCCCGTTCTCAAAACTCACGAGAGCACACGTTAAGCGATCCGGAAAACACGACCCTGTCGGAACAACCCCTGCACGGAGTCCGGACGTAACTTTTCTCTCAGAATGTAAAGAATTCCTAATTCCGAGTTGTCAACACACGCAAGAGAACCCTGAATCTGGATGTCACCCTGGACTCATCAGTAAATACTAAGTAGTTTCCTTCGAAGTATGTAACGCTTTCCGCAAGCTCCCACCACATCCGTATAAGCACGGCAATACATTTGACAGCGTCTTATCCACCAACAGGCTCGAAAGATGCGATTGGCCGTCCGAATCGCGTGAACCCTTGCCGTGCAGACTAGGTGAACTTCGCGCATGCATGCGCACTAAGGAGTTTGGCAGCTCGACAAACCCCCGGCGCCCCCCCCCCCATCTTCAACGTCGCCATTCCTTCGGCCCCCAGTCGCACTACGCCATTAACCAGGCCCAACGCGGCGAGGCGCGGTTAGTAGAGTATACCTGCACTTTAGGATCGAGGTGGAGGTTTCGAAAGTTTTTCTCTCGCTGTTCTTTCTGGCGTTTCATTGAGCGCGGGGTTTACGGTGGCAAGGTACCGTCCAGGAACCGCTTCACCGGAGATGGGTTTCCGAAGAAGGGGGGGGGGGGGGGGAGAGAAGTTCCCCGGGGGGCAGACCGGCGGCCTCAGTCGCCAATGGACTCCTTGTAGTGTACTTAGTACTATGTAGTGTGCGGAATACAACACACCAAGAGACGACTGAACGAAACGACCCTTGCACGGCGAAAAAGGGCCTCCGCGAAATGACGCTGCACAGGCAGCATGGCACGTCTCCAATGCCGCTCGAGGCTCGGGGTTTGCACCCCAGAACGAACCAGTCTGGGCGTCGAGGAGAACAATACCACCAAGAGGCCGAACCGTTTCAAGTATGGTAAAGTCGCCTCATGCAAGTCAAAAAACCAAACCCTGCTTGTAACAGGGGGATCGCAACCCACCCCAAGGTAGGGTTAGGTAACAACCGGCGCCGTCCAGCTCTGGGTAGCGCACGCTAGATAGACAGGAGGATAGTGAGAAGGCCGGCCGAAGACGATTGCGGAATGCTGCTCGTCGAAGCTGACTACAGATGGAGTACGAAATACGAACAGACGGGTTTACGGTACATCCCGTGAGTACCTGAATATACTTCATAAGCTCTTTTTCAAGAAGGGTCGAGTGCCATACCGAGAAAACAAGGGTCCGAGGGAATTGTGCACACTGGGACAATACCCGACTAAGCCTCTGGCATGCACTAACGCAAAGGGATATTAGGTGGCTGCAGCAATTTCTCATGTCATGTACGTTAGTTAACTCGCTGTAACTCGCTGTAACTCGCTGCACGATTTCGGGCGTGGGGATACATTCCAGTTGAGAAAGAACTTAGGTAATGCTCTCTCCCTCTCTCTCTTTCTCCAACCCGGGAGGTGACGGTAGAAAGTGCTAGACATATAAATTAATAACTACAGAACTGTTATCGTTCGTATCAATGAATTTCAAATGCCTCGGCTGCTGCTCTTTACGTAAGGGAACTACGCCAATATACTCGCTACGGTTCCTGCGTACGGATCGGTGTTCCGTAAGGGTACGGTACATCGTCTATTATTATATAGGGGTAATTAACAGCGGACAACTGGATACTTAAGCTCTTGAAATGGGGCAAATATGGCAATAACTCCAGGCAGGTAGGTAAGTACTGCCTTTAATTACTGACGGGAGAGTGTACTTTCAAGAGCGTGCCTTGCGCTAACTAAAGATAACTATTTGGATAGTGTCAAGATCTGAATCTACACTAACAAGTTAG